GACTAAGCCGCTAAGGACAGTTTTTCTTTTTGTCATTTGATCTACACGTTTTTTGCTGTCTTAACAACAATGCTAATATTTACACTCTTTAAAGATTTAGGCTTAAAATATAACGAACTTAGTATCACGCACACTTAGTTTTTTTTTCTTTTCGGCTCAGACTTGCAATTTACAACGTCAGTTTGCCTTGCATGTTCGCTTTAGTATTACAGTTTTCATCATCGGCTTGTGAGGACTGATACAGATTTACAATAGTAATACTTCTTTCTTAATTGTAGCCTCTTTTCATTCATTTAAGATGGCACACTTAAAAGGACTGTTTAAGGATTAGTACCATTATTTAAAGTACAGATTGAGAAAGAAAGCGAACGTTAAAAAAAGAATATCGCACAAAAAAATTGCTTTATACCAGGGGTCTCCAAACTACGGCCCGCGGGCCTGATGCGGCCCGCGAGGTCCTCTCATCCGGCCCGCGGAGATCATTTTGTCCACGGAAAAACCGTTTGTTGGTGATGGCTGAGGAACTTTATCAAAGACATGTCAGGAAGAAACTGGCCCCTGAACTGAAATTTGATAGTCAATGCGGCCCTCGGACTGAAAAGTTTGGAGACCCCTGCTTTATACGAAAGCTCACCAGTTTTTAAAGTATTCTTACAAAAGTAAATTTCCTTTTTTTGACTAAAAAAACAAACAAACTAACAACAAATTTACTATAATGTATTCTGTATTTTTTTGTTGACGCCAGCAGTAGGTTATTATTATGTTGTTACCCTCCTCTAAGGGAGATAATTTATTCCCCTCTGTTCAGCCGCTCATCTTATTGTTTTTATAGATGTCTTTCTGCTAACCGGAAACATTTCACACCGATCACTGACTATGGCAAACACCTAAAAGTTAGGCAAAGAAATTGACAAAATTCTGGTACCTTTGGTTTTATTGCGTTTATTTGATGAGTTAACTTTATCCAACACCATAATAATTATGATTACGATGCTGACGATTTTTATTGCACTGAAATTATTTAGTTGTAGTTTATATACACACATGCACTCCCCCCCCCCCACACACACATGCACATTGACACAATGCACATTCACACACATGCACACTCACAGAGATGCACTCACACACACTGACACACATCCGTACTCACACTCATGCACACTGACACACATGCGAACTCACACACATTCAGACTCACACACTTGCACACACACTCACACACATGCACACCCACACACATGCACACTCACACACATGTATACTCACACACATGCACATTCACACACATGCACACTCACACTTTTTTATTAACATGATATAAAACAAAATAATTCACTATATGTCTATTATCAACGATAATTTAAAAATTAATATCAATAAAAATTTAAATAATTAGATAACGCAAGAACATCCTATTTTATAAAACATCAGAAACTGTCAAATTTCCAATATTGTAAAGGACATTGCGCATTAACAAAAATTATCAACACAATGGCATTGAATTATAAATATGTACATATGGTTTAAAATTGAATTTGGAGTTTAAATTATAAAAGATTTAAAAATGTTAGAAAATGTAAATTTAACGGATTTAAAAATTTAAAGATTAAACTTTATATTGTTTAAAATTTTACAATGTAGTATTTTAAGAATTTTGTAAAAAAAAAATTAGCAAATGCGGAGAACATGCAGATTATTCTTTCTTTTAAGTTTAAGGCTACAATTTGTATGTACATATTTAGAAGTGTAGTTTATAGTTCTTGTCAGTATCTATTTAGGACTGATCATCAGTTGAGCCAGGATCAAGATTAAATCTGTGCTATGTGCCAACTCTTATAAATTCCAATAAATTCTTTACTGACATTGAAAAACATTGGTTTAACGCGTTTTTCAGTATTGCAATAATAATTCATGAAAATATGTACGCACCATTCCTCTTAACACCGCGAAGATGACTGTGCTGAGCTGGCACATACACGATAATGTTGACATAGAAAAATAGAGCACATACACAGGTGATGTGATTCGCGATAGTTGGTTATATAAAGGCAAATTTGTTATCTTATTATTTCAATGGAATGATGCATCAACGGAGACAGTATGCAACTAATTTTCTAAAATGAAAACAAAAATGTTGCAAAAGCATGTAATTTGATTGATGGGCATTATCATCTTAAAAAATGTAAACATTTTTGAACTTTTAATAACATTTTACTGCTTCTGAGAGATTTTCAAAATAAATTTGAAATTGTAACATATTAATCTGATTTTATTGACATTTCATAAATAATTAGTTTCCACCCCTCCCTTATACCCGGAAAATTTTTACAAACATCAAAACGATTGTTATAGTAATTAATTTTTAGTTATACAATATATATATATATATATATATATATATATATATATATATATATATATATATATATATATATATATATATATATATATATATATATATATATATATATATATATATATATATATATAACTTTTTTCAACCACAATCTCCCTTTAAACACAAAACAACAATACCCAGCATCCTCTCTTCAATATGTATATAGGCAAATATATAAGGAAGCATAAAAAACAAACCCATGTGAATTATTATTTTATAGGCGGAAAAATATTATGGTTAAATCCTTATTTAAAAGTACCATTCACCCCAAGGGTATTATCACAACGACATAATAGTCGAGCCTCTTTCCAATTGTGTCAATATAGAATAAGACCCTTCCTTGGTTCTCAGACGAGAGTGTCGTTGAGAATAAAACCATTTCCCGTTTCAGGTATTGCCATATCAGAGTCAAGTACTCCAGTGTAAATGTATAGCGCAGCAAAAGCTTGTTAAAGTCAGGATCTCATCTGTGTTTAATTTCTCATTGACGCTACAAAATATGTAAATGCGAATTCTCCAGTTTTTTTTATAGAAGATATGAAAGTAAAATTTATTTTTACTACACGAGGCACTGGTGTCTGAAAACTATTACCATTGCAATTTACATAGGAATGTTTTGTCCCGTATTAACTAAAATTAACCGACTTAAAAAAAAAATATAAAGGGACAGAACCATAAAAATAAAAATGGTCATTTTAATTTTAGTTTACTTCCCTTGAATCGAAAAATTCCGAGGGTAAGAAAAAATATTTATATAGCAAGTGTTAACAGACAGACAAATAGTAAATCAACATGTAGCGATTGTGATAACAATCATAAACATTGCTAATATAAAATAATTCCTATTTACCTAAGGATGTATTAGTTTTCTTTGTACAACATCTAGTCCAACCAGTGGGTGACGTATACTGAAAACACAATTGGTGTGTCTCATGATCCAAATTATAACAATGGCAAATGAGTGTCATATTATTTAAAACAGACAATTTATTCGCACTTATTCAGTTGTCGGTATGAGCAAAGTTACAGCTATAATACAGATTTCGTAGAAAAAAAAAGACCAAACCTCTGGTAAAAATACATCATAATCGAAAGAAATTTAAAAAAGAAAAGCTGTAAAAAGAAAGTTGTTTGTTTGTTTACATATTAAAAAACAGCGTGAGAACCTCCGTTTGTGACGTCATCGCACCAAACTGGATGAGGGGGGATAATTTAATAAAGGGTGATAACTTATATAAGAAATGAAATGCCAAGAAAGCTTTTAGGTTTGAAGGGGAAAAATACCATGTTTAAAGAGAAATAGCAGCCACTGCAGTTAAAACATATGAACTCATAACACAGCTAAAACATGTTAACTCATAACACAGCTAAAACAGGTGAACTTACAGCACAAAAAAACTTTTTTAAATACTAGAGAGCAAACAATTATTTCTATACAGCTTTTTAAAGGTACATCCGTATATGTATTTCAATTTTAAATAAACCGGGAGTGATCTCCCCTAAACTTTCTCGAATATTCTAATATAACACTACAGGGGATGGCAACTCGGGATATAGACTTCTAGACATGATTTTTAATCCATTTTAAATACTCACATTTCTTAAAATAGAATATAATCTCGTAGAAAAAAGAAATGCACACCAAGTGAACGCTAAATAAAAAAGCGCATAATAGTGCGCAATATTATTAGTACTTTATAAATTTACATGCGTTTTTTGAGAAATCGGAAATAGCGTAAATAAGTACTTCCGGTCAACGGAAATTACTCAAAATTTGACAGAAGGTAGAGAATTAGCTCTTTTACTTACAAATCAAATTTCATTTATCTATCTGAAATAGTACTCAAGTTATAGGCTTTTGAAAAATTCAAAGTAGAAAAAGTACCACTTCCGGTTATCGGAATTCGCTCAAAAGTTGATACGGGTCTACGATTTTGATAAAATACTTATATATGAAATTTCATCAACCTAGCTGTAACGGTACTCAAGTAATCGTGTTTACACACGGACACACAGACACACAGACACACAGACACACACAGACATACGGACAAGATTGCAAAATTATGTTTTTCCGTATCAGTGAGGTGTAAAACGTCGAGATTTGTAAAAATCTCGATTTTTTTTTGCACGATTACAATACTTTCTCTATACTACGTATATACGAGAAAGTAAAAATTGGTAAATCTTGATAACTATGACTACGGCGGACACCTTGAAAACATAACCTCTTCGTAGGATTTCCACCATTCATAAACTATTATATCTTACTCCTAATAAACAATGAATTCATAACTATCATATTTTGGCTTACTCAGCTAAAAATCGTAAGTGAATTTTCAAATTGTGGGTCCGTTAAAAACTTTAAATTGAATGAAATGAATGCACCCTAAATTCCCCAAAATTGTGTCATATTTTCCCACCAATTTTTTTTAATGCAAACACAAATGCGAAAGTACCTTAAAAAAGCTATAGAGAAAAAAATCGATTCCTAACAAGTATTAAAACGATTTTTTTAACCCTACCCCCTTAAAACATGTGAACTCATAACAAGGTTAAAACAAGTGAACTCATCGCAAATGAAAGGTAAGATGCATTTTTAATAAGTGTAACGTCACAAATGGATACCCTCTTTAATGTTAAAAAAAAAATTAAAACTGGATGAAGAATTTCTATTTAAAATACGTTTTTGAGTATACTCCAATCGTCTTGAAGGCCAGCAAACTATATACAACCACGATCCCCTCAATAACAACCTTGATCAGCGCTAGAGTCCTAGTAGGAATGGAAACAAAGGCAGTCTTTCACTTCCCCGTTCGTGAAGTGCTTCTGGGTAAAGTTCCAGCACTTGCCGGAGCCGGGCTGCGAGTGCTTCCGGTCTGCGTGCTTCCGGTCCAGCAAAGGGAAGTAGACTTTCTGGTCCTTTGAGTCGTAGTGGCACATCTCACAGTGGCAGTCGTTGGTCAGCAGCCGGTTCCGGGAGTCACGTGACATGGAGCTGCTAGCAGGTGTGCCGGGCGGAAAATCGGAACGGCGATTGGGACTTGGGTTGGAGCTCTGCAGCTTTGGCCACGTGCCGCGCCATGCGTTTCTTCTCCAGGAACTGAAAGAAAACAAAGGGGGTCAAGGTTAGGCAGGTGCTGTAGAGTTTACCATGTATCTACCCTAGACCAGCATGCAAGAAACCAAAAAGGCTTATATATGTATGTTTATATATATATATATATATATATATATATATATATATATATATATATATATATATATATATATATATATATATATATATATATATATATATATACATATGCCTATTGTTTGAATACATCATGCTAATATACATGCATGCAAAAAGTGAAATAAGGAAAAGGTCAAATTTAAAAACGTGGAGAATAAAGCAACCCTTATTTTTATATATGAAAAAAGGTGTTAAAAAGCTCAAAAGTGTTTTTTTCTAACTTGCTTATATTAAAATGATAAGCATTAAAAGTAAGTTTTACTTTTCCTATTCAAAATACAATTTGTTAATTTAATTTAAAAAAATAAATAAATAAGAAAATAACCCTGACTGAATTCGGGTAAAAAAAATGAAAAGATTCTAATCGAATCAGGAACTGTCTGTTAGGATAGATTGGAAGAAACGTGTATGTTTGCTTACCAGCGTAAACTTGGTTAATAAAATAAGCTTTCACATACTCCCCTTACCCACACCGAAACGTGAGGAGAGTTTTTGTGTGACAGAACTTCTGTGTATGGCAGCCACGCCTGATTACTTGTGTAATCAACTCTTTATTTTATGTTGATTTTCATTTTCTCTTTATGATTCAAAAACTTAATCAATTTACACCCCCACACACATTTTATATATATATATATACTAGCCGTCCCGGCCAGGCCCTGCTCTGGCTTCTGTGAAAAACCCTTCTGTTAAAGACCATTACCTGTGTGTTTAGTAATCATCATAAACCCGGCATTGCACACCCAAACCAAAACCAAAACAACAAAACGCAAACATAACGCTAACACAATTACAAATACAAACGAAAACAAAAACCTAACAACTAACCCAACCACAACCACCAACACCAATACGAACACAAAGAAAAAAACAAACGAAAAAGCAAACGAAAACAAACCAAATCCAAATGCAAAACCAACCACAAACCAAAAGAAAAAAACACAAACGAAAAAACAAACGAAAACAAACCAAATACAAACGCAAAACCAACCACAAACACAAATACAAACACAAACGCAAAGAAGATAAAACACAAACGAAAACGAAAAAAGAAAGAACAAAAACGAACCAAATCAAAACGCAACCACTAACGCAAACCCAACCTAAACACAAAGAAAACACTAACGCGAACATAAACGCACAGTGCTCAGAGTCTAGCCCGGGGCGGAATCGCCTGTTTCAGCCTAATAAACGACTATAGTACCCCAACTTATTCATAGTCTTTTGCACTCACTTTAATGAACGTAGGCGCGAAACCGAACACGGGAGGCCCGGGACCCCAAAAAGCACCCTGTCTGGGCGCCAGAGGACGCACCATGACGTCACCGCCTGATAGAACTTAGTAAACGCCTATAGTGCATAACTTATTTATAGTCTTTTGAACTCACGCGAACGTAGATACCATAGCGTACACCGGAAGGCCCGGGGCGCCAAATAGCACCCTGTCGGGGTGCAGGAGGACGCCCGGATTTGATTCACTTAAAGACTATAGTAACCTTTCTTATCCATTGTCTATCGCACTGTTCAAAACAAAATTATGCAGCATAGCGCTCACATGATAGCCCAGGGTGCCAAATCGAACCGTGCAAGGGCGCCGGCGGACGCGCCTGTTTCAATTTAGTGAACAAAAATGATAATACTCCAAGCTTATCCGTAAATGGAAAGAAATAAACATATAGGATTTGTAGGACCTGGCTTATTAAATGTTATTGATTTAAAAAAAAAAAATAATTATTGAACAGTATGTTCAGTGTATAGAGTAAATAAAAGGCAGTGTTAAAAATACCTAACGACATTGCACTTAATCAATCCCCGCTAATTATGTAATTTTTTTTTTTCTTAACACCAAAAACAAAGTAATAAAATGTAAATTCTTTCTTCTTAAGAATTTTTTTTATTAAAGGGAAGTAACTGTGCAGTCAATACATTTCCGACACAATTTTAGAAATTTTATAAACGTCGATACACTTTTTAAAAATTTTATGTGGTGTTCATAATTGAAAATTATTCTTCTAAGTAAATAGAGTGAAAATTGTTTTTAAAGACTTTCAATGGTAATTTTTTGACTCGTAAATTTAGACTATGAGCACGATAAAAAATCTAACACTTAAATCCGTAGAAGTGTCAACGACAAACTTTTTTTTTGCCACACGTTACAGAACTGAGCTTTATATATTAGAACTAGCCGTCCCGGCCAGGCCCTGCTCTGGCTTCTGTGAAAAACCTTTCTGTTAAAGACCATTACCTGTGTGTTTAGTAATCATCATAAACCTAGCATTGCACACCCAAACCAAAACCAAAACAACAAAACGCAAACATAAAGCTAACACAATTACAAATACAAACGAAAACAAAAACCTAACAACTAACCCAACCACAACCACAAACACCAATACGAACACAAAGAAAAAAAACAAACGAAAAAGCAAACGAAAACAAACCAAATCCAAATGCAAAACCAACCACAAACCCAAAGAAAAAAACACAAACGAAAAAACAAACGAAAACAAACCAAATACAAACGCAAAACCAACCACAAACACAAATACAAACAAAAACGCAAAGAAGATAAAACACAAACGAAAACGAAAAAAGAAAGAACAAAAACGAACCAAATTAAAACGCAACCACTAACGCAAACCCAACCTTAACACAAAGAAAACACTAACGCGAACATAAACGCACAGTGCTCAGAGTCTAGCCCGGGGCGGAATCGCCTGTTTCAGCTTAATAAACGACTATAGTACCCCAACTTATTCATAGTCTTTTGCACTCACTTTAATGAACGTAGGCGCGAAACCGAACACGGGAGGCCCGGGACCCCAAATAGCACCCTGTCTGTGCGCCAGAGGACGCACCATGACGTCACCGCCTGATTGAACTTAGTAAACGACTATAGTACATAACTTATTCATAGTCTTTTGAACTCACGCGAACGTATATACCATAGCGTACACCGGAAGGCCCGGGGCGCCAAATAGCACCCTGTCGGGGTGCCGGAGGACGCCCGGATTTGATTCACTTAAAGACTATAGTAACCTTTCTTACCCATAGTCTATCGCACTGTTAAAAACAAAATTATGCAGCATAGCGCTCACATGATAGCCCAGGGTGCCAAATCGAACCGTGCAAGGGCGCCGGCGGACGCGCCTGTTTCAATTTAGTGAACAAAAATGATAATACTCCAAGCTTATCCGTAAATGGAAAGAAATAAACATATAGGATTTGTAGGACCTGGCTTATTAAATGTTATTGATTTAAAAAAAAAAATTATTGAACAGTATGTTCAGTGTATAGAATAAATAAAAGGCAGTGTTAAAAATACCTAACGACATTGCACTTAATCAATCCCCGCTAATTATGTAATTTTTTTTTTCTTAACACCAAAAACAAAGTAATAAAATGTAAATTCTTTCTTCTTAAGAATTTTTTTTTATTAAAGGGAAGTAACTGTGCAGTCAATACATTTCCGACACAATTTTAGAAATTTTATAAACGTCGATACACTTTTTAAAAATTTTATGTCGCGTTCATAATTGAAAATTATTCTTCTAAGTAAATAGAGTGAAAATTGTTTTTAAAGACTTTCAATGGTAATTTTTTGACTCGTACATTTAGACTGTGAGCACGATAAAAAATCTAACACTTAAATCCATAGAACTGTCAACGACAAACTTTTTTTTTGCCACACGTTACAGAACTGAGCTTTATATATTAGATATATATATATATATATATATATATATATATATATATATATATATATATATATATATATACTAGCCGTCCCGGCCAGGCCCTGCTCTGGCTTCTGTGAAAAACCTTTCTGTTAAAGACCATTACCTGTGTGTTTAGTAATCACCATAAACCCGGCATTGCACACCCAAACCAAAACCAAAACAAAAAAACGCAAACATAACGCTAACACAATTACAAATACAAACGAAAACAAAAACCTAACAACTAACCCAACCACAACCACAAACACCAATACGAACACAAAGAAAAAAAAAACGAAAAAGCAAACGAAAACAAACCAAATCCAAATGCAAAACCAACCACAAACCCAAAGAAAAAAACACAAACGAAAAAACAAACGAAAACAAACCAAATACAAACGCAAAACCAACCACAAACACAAATACAAACACAAACGCAAAGAAAATAAAACACAAACGAAAACGAAAAAAGAAAGAACAAAAAGTGAGTGCTCAGAGTCTAGCCCGGGGCAGAATCGCCTGTTTCAGCTTAATAAACGACTATAGTACCCCAACTTATTCATAGTCTTTTGCACTCACTTTAATGAACGTAGGCGCGAAACCGAACACGGGAGGCCCGGGACCCCAAATAGCACCCTGTCTGGGCGCCAGAGGACGCACCATGACGTCACCGCCTGATTGAACTTAGTAAACGACTATAGTACATAACTTATTCATAGTCTTTTGAACTCACGCGAACGTATATACCATAGCGTACACCGGAAGGCCCGGGGCGCCAAATAGCACCCTGTCGGGGTGCCGGAGGACGCCCGGATTTGATTCACTTAAAGACTATAGTAACCTTTCTTACCCATAGTCTATCGCACTGTTAAAAACAAAACTTTGCAGCATAGCGCTCACATGATAGCCCAGGGTGCCAAATCGAACCGTGCAAGGGCGCCGGCGGACGCGCCTGTTTCAATTTAGTGAACAAAAATGATAATACTCCAAGCTTATCCGTAAATGTAAAGAAATAAACATATAGGATTTGTAGGACCTGGCTTATTAAATGTTATTGATTTAAAAAAAAAATATTGAACAGTATGTTCAGTGTATAGAATAAATAAAAGGCAGTGTTAAAAATACCTAACGACATTGCACTTAATC